TTCCTCTTGGTTACATACCCTTGATCATGCCCTACCAGGCCTCCCACACCCACCTCCCCACCAATTTGCATCACTTGTTGTTCCCTTGACAAACCCAGGGACAAGGGAACAACAACCTTATTTTCTATGGGGCTTTTCTGTCAAACTTCTGTACAACATCTTCACCAATATTAGTAGCATTAGCAGTGGCAGCATCACCATATTAACATCCCCAGTAGCAGAATCGTCATCATGATCTTCATCAATATCATCATCATCACCATTCTCACTAGCAGTAGCATCATTTTCACCATTATCACTAGAGTTAACATCATCATCTTTATCTTCATCACTGTTATTATAACCATTATCTTCACCATGCTTGTCACCATCATAATCCTTTACATTTTTTTGTTCTCCAATTAGAGATCATGACCTTTGGCCATAACAAAAAGATTATGAAGTAAACAAGTCACATATTATTTTCCCCATGTTACAGATGAGAAAGCTGACGACTAAGAAAAGTGAAATAATGTTTTCCTTGAGTCACATAACTAATTAATGGAGGTGGTAAAATTTGAAACTGAGTCTGAGGATCATGGGCAGAAACTACAATACATCTGGCAGAGTTGCCAGGAGTGGTGTGGGAGGGCCATGGAAATTTTTGTTTAGTCAAAGTATAATTAACTCTAGAGGTGTGGTTTCCATGGACCATGTATATGTTGGGGTAGTATTGAAATGAAGAGAGGTGACCCTGTATTTGACCTGAGTATTATAAATCATGATCTTTTGATATATACAGGTGACATGGGAACAATTTTGACTCCTTCAAGTTGTCTGCTAGATGGCTGCTTGTTTAACTTCAAGCCTTTAAGATCCCAGTATATCTTTTGATAGCCGTGCACCATCAACTTTCTTCACCACATTTGCTTATGCACCCATTTTGTCTTCAACGATCATGTTGGGAGGGTGAGCATCAGGTTGTTAGAACAAAGTATTCTTGCATTAAGGCAGGGCCTGAGCAGAGGCCCAAAGCCCGTTCACTTTCTCAATGTGTTACCACATAAATATATGTACGTAGGCCAATACCTCTACTTTTATGAGTTAATATATTTACATAAGTCCACACCTATGTTTATACCTCTATCCATAGCTTTGCTTCCTATATCGTTCTTCTTTTTCCTTTTACCTTCCTCCTGTCCCACCATCATGCTCGCCCTTCTTCTGCCTCTTAGTAATTCCTCTCAGCTAGATTGCTGTTGCTCCAACACTCCCAGGATCTCTACGTCCTCCTCATTGTTGCTTTTAATTCCCTAGTTGTTCCCCTGTCTATGGTAGTTCCACTGTCTATGGTGTTGTTTGCTCACCACTCCCTTCCCCCACCTCTTCCTCTCCCCAAGTACCTTCAGAGCTTGCCACCCATACCTATCTTATAGGTAGGCAAAACAAAGAGAAAACAAAAGATTGAATAAAAAGAGGAAAAAAATGAAAAACCATACATAATTCAAGGTCTGTCTGCTGACCTTTATGACTCCCTACCGGTCCTGGGGTGTTCCAGGAACTGCCTCTCCTAGCTAGAAGTCTATTTTGGGGGCTTCTCAGGGACTTTGTGGCTTGGCTTTGCTCCTGTTGCTGATCTGGTATGTTCCCTTCTTGGTTTGTTCCACTGGATTGAGGGAGGGGGAGCTGTCAGATCGGTCTCACTCCCTGCTGTGTGTCCCCAGTATTGTCCTCTGTCATGAGGGGACATCATGTCTCTAGCAGTGGTCAGCCCTACAGTCCTCTCTCTGCCTTAGCAGCTTCATGCAGAGACATCATCCTAAGGAGTATAAAAATACAGTAGAGGGGGAAATTTCATAGGTTAAAATGAGACTCAAGAGGCATATAAGATTTATCCTTTAAAAGAAACTAGAAGAAGAATATTTTTGAAATACTTACTGTATGGATAAGGAATTAAAAGCATGTATGGAAATATTAGGAGCCCTAGTGACATAGTGGGCTAAGCATTGGACTGCTAGCCACAAGTCGGTGGTTTAAGCCTACCAATTGCTTCCCAAAGAAAGATAAGACTTCCCATAAAAATTAATGTTCAGCCTTGGAAACCCTATGCAGCAGTTCTTCTTTGCCCTAATAAGGATCCCTATGAGTTGGAATTATTATTACTGTGGTAATTATGGGTATTTTGTCATTGGTTTTTTTTTTAAGTCCTTTGCTGGAAGGGACACAGAACAAAGCATTTATAGATTCAATGATATGATGCTTAGAATTGGCCTTAAATTCTCCAACAAAAACCAGCCACAGCAATAACAGCATAGACTATGAGGAGTGATGAAACAACACGTCATTGTCTGAAGCTGGGTAACAACGAGTACATTTCCCGGGCTGTTTTTGTTTAGTTGTTTGCTTTGTAAGGAAGCCCCTACTCTAGCAGTTTCTAGAACACTTGGAAAGAGACTCACTTACCACTCTCTTCTTCTTTTTAAGGCTTCGTCTCCTTTGGGAAGAAGAAGTCTCAAGACGTGGAATTGAAAAAGCTTCCGTACTTCGCGTGATGCTGAGGTTCCAAAGAACAAGGGTTTTCATCCAAGTATTTGTGGGCTGCTTCTTCTGTGTAGCGAGTGTATTAGGGCCAGTAAGTTGCACACTTGATACGATCTGGGGGAGATTCCAGGCTTTGGAGATTCCAACAGAACTGATGGCATGTTTAAGTTCATCTGATGAGTTGTCCGTGTGTTTATTTCTCAGCTGCTGTCCGTTAATTGAGACCTTTTAGGAGATACTGGTCAGGGCTGTGGATTCTGTGGCCATGACTGCTTGAGAGGCAAAGCTTGGCCCTGTCATTTAATTAGTGGGTGACTTTGGACAATTTAATTACCTTCTTTGTACCTCAGTTTCCTCAAGGAATTTCATGGACACTGTCAGGGGTAGACCTCACTGAAACCCTCATGTGTAAAATAGAAATAATTACGTCTTCTACTGCTTTTTATTTTATTTATTTGGTTGGTTTTTTTTTTTTACCAGTTGCCTTTGAGTCTGTCTGATTCATGGTGACCCATGTGTGCCAGAGTAGAACTGTGCTCTTTAGGGCTTTCAGTGGCTGATTTTTCAGACATGTATTACTTGGTCTTTCTTCCAGTGAGCCTCTGGGTAGACTCAAACTTTCAATCTTTCAGTAAGCAGCCAAGTTCCTTGACTGTACACCTCAGGGATTCCTATCGACTTCATAACATTAAATGATATAAAGTATTTAAAGCGCATAGGGGCAGTTCACTGGTAGAATTCTTGCCTTCTATGGAGGAGATTTTATGAAGCTAATAACCTCATGTCTATCTGTCAGTGAAGGCTTGCATGCTGCTATGATGCTGAACACATTTCAGCAGGGCTTCCAGACTAAGACTTAGAGATCTACTTCCCCCCCAAATCAGTCAATGATAACTCTATAGGTTACTACAGAGTCTGATCAGCAACCGATCATTCCTATGACACAGAACTGTGTCAGGGGTCAATTGGTTCTAGCATAACAATTGTGAGAATGGTGCAGGACTGGGCCATGTTTTATTTGACTGTACACAGGGTCACTATGAGCCAGAACTCACTGGCACTTAATAACAACAACAACAAAAGCAACAAGAACACGGCCTGACTCAATATATGCTGGTTATTCTGGAACTGTGGGTGATGTAGGTGCTGATGCATGGTCTCCTTGTACTGTGTTTGGGATGGATTGACTCCAGTTCTTGTTCTCCAGTTCCTCTGCCCATGATTCTGATTTCAGAAAGTGAGACTCATTAGTTCAGCTGGTATCACATGCTCACTCATGGGCCAGGGGTAGATGGGGCACTCTGCTTGACAATCCAGCCTAAATATTATGCAGTCAGGGAGAGGAGCATCCCTCTGGAACAAGACGGTGGAGTTGTTCACAGCAATAGGGAGAAGGAATGGAGGGCAGGAAAAGATAAAGTGGATGATTACCATAGATATAACTAACCTGAGTTAGGTGACAGACAATGCACCAGGCTCTCTCCATTTGTCCATCTAGATCTATTCTCCATCATTTTTTCTCCTGTCTTAAACCCTGTTGGCACAGAGGGTTAAGTGTTGGGCTGCTAAATGCAAGGTTGAGAGTTCAAACCTACCAGCTATCCTACAGAAGAAAGATAAAAGATGAAAGGGAAGATTTATGTTCTCAGAAGCCCTAAGGAGCAATTCTACACTGTCTTTTGGATCTCTACGAGTTGGCAGTGACTTTATGGCAATGGATTTGGCTTGGTTTTGGGGTGTGCGTCTAGAACCTGATCTAGATGGACCACATCAGTGGGGTCTTTTCTCATTAGATTTGATAAATTGGGAGGGGGGGTGGTATCTCTAGTAGGAGACCAGGAGGGGTGAGGGGAGAAGAATGAGATCACAATATTTATTCCCTGACTCTCTCCTAGCCCCTGGAGATTAGTAAGCACAGCTCCTGTCTAGTACTCTCTTGGCCTGGCACTCTTTTGCTGGCTTTTCGTAACTTTACCTTCATTTCTCCCCTTTAGGCCTTGGGTGGCAACAGCTCTCTCCAGTGAGCTTAACCATCTGTTTTTGGATTTTCTAAATTTACCTGAACCTTTTAAGTGGCCACTTTACCAACTAAAGTATCTGGTTTGGGATCCTTCTCTTCCCTGCCTAGATGAACTACTAGATGGCAGAGCTGGGAGTCAGATGTGAGCCAACTCAACTCCCGTATCTCCTCCAACGACACCACCGTTATTGAAGAATCCAGACATTAGTCCTTTCAAAGATTCAACATATAGCCCCTGAATGATGCTTGTAAACTGAATGAAGGATGGGGAGGTTTAAGGGATCTAAACTCTGTTTTCTTTTTAGGCACTGATTATACCAAAGATCCTGGAATATGCCGAGGAACAGTCAGGAAATGTTGTCTATGGAGTGGGGCTCTGTGTTTCCCTCTTTCTCACAGAGAGTTTGAAGTCGTTGACTCTGTGCTCATGTTGGGTCATCAACCAGCGCACGGGCACAAGGTTTCGCACAGCTGTTTCCGCACTGGCTTTTGAGAAGCTAATAGAATTCAAATCTGTGACCCACTTCTCTGTAGGAAAGGTACGTGCACGGAATTGCATGTGTCAAGCTATTCTTCCTTATCCTCCTCCAGACTGAGGGGGGTGGGGTTGGGGTGCCAGAGAGGGGAGGTAAGGGGAGTAGGAAGGGAGGAAGAAAGAGAAAGAATCATGTCCAGGGCATAAAAAACTCCCTGGCATCAGAAACTTCTAATTTCACAAGGGGAGAGGAAAAATCAAGGTCGACATCAACCCAAGGATAATTCCCATGAGGTGGAGACTGGACACATTCACCTCTTCTCTCCAACCTTTTAACCAACTCTGACAGTGGCTATCCTTCCATGGCACTCTCTGTGTCTCTGATGGGATGGATTATTGTGTTGTGATGGTCACACAGACCACATGTTCCTTATAGGGTTTATTGGGGGGAGTAACCGGTTACAGACAGGATTAGAATCAACTTGGAGATCACAAGAGCAACTCAGGATACAGTTATTTAATCAGGACAGCTTCTTTTTTGTTGTTGTTGTGCCTGCAGGCAGGCCTCTGCTGCCAGCTCCTGCTTGGGCCTGGCTTCTTGTTCTTAGTTTGGGCCCTCAATCTTGAACTCTGCTCTGCCCTGGTAAGTGTTATAACTATTTCTTTAACTCTGCTGCTAAGAACCCAGGGAAGGGCAAATAAAGATGCTACATCAGGGGTGGGGAACATATGGCCCTCAGACCATGTAAGGCCTGAGAGATCATCTATAACAACTAACAGCACACAACTCATCAAAGAGAAGCAATCAGGGGTGAGTTAATTAAATGGTTGACCAAGTATAGCAACTTAATTTTGAATGGGATAATTTTGTATGACCTGCAAATGATATTTCAATGGTCCTTGGCAGAAAAAAAGGTTCCTAACCCTTTATGCTACATAAAGGCTGAGAGAGGCAGGAAAGGCTTACTCTAGAGAAGATCTGATGAGATGGCCAGGGAAAGATGAAGAAAGACATCACGGGTGATGGGAACAGTTGGAGTAGAGCCACAGCATCCCCCCTTAAAGCTGTGCGCATGTCATGATACTAAAGAGGCTGGCTAAAGGGAAATGGCTAGGTCACGTCAGGAAAGCAGGAGAGGCCAGGCAGAGGCCAGATACAGGGGGATCCAGGAAGAAGGGGACAGGCTTTGATGTGATGTGCATAGACAACTTGTATGAGTGTTTTTGTGTTTGGCAGTAGGAGAAAGGGGAAGTGTGATGGTGGCACTACCATGAGTTTACTGTCTGTAAAGTATGTTCTCTTTAGATGCCCCACAAAAAAGAAACTAAACGTTTAGTTAAGGAAGGTCACCCGTCCATCGTGGTTCAGGCGGTGGGCCCATGGGGAGAGCTTGAGAGGTGGTGCCTTGTCCCCTCGCATCCGCCCACAGACCCTGCCCCCCAGGCAAGGAAAGGGAACCCCTTGGCTGCTGCCTTGACTATGTAGGGTCCTGTGTGAGCCAACGTCTCGTGCCTTTGGGGGCGGGGGAGAATTCAGTTAATATTATTATTAATTATAGAAGAAGTAGAAAATATATACTTTATATGAGCACTGTTTGGTCAGATATTCACTGAAATTCTCTCCAGAACTACACACTGTAGATATAATTATTCCAGTTTTATAGGTGGAGAAGCTGAAGTTCAGGTAAAGTAACGTATCTAGGGTCACTGTATCTCGGGGGTGAGGAGAGATGTGAACTAGGGGTGACTTCACTTTACACCCTGTCTCCCAAACATTCCTTCTAGGGAACAGCATGGCGATTCCACTTGCCACAAAGGGCACATGTTGCCCCTTCTGGGAAGCTGGAGAGATGACCCCTGGTTTACTGTCTTATAGGCCATCAGCTTCTTCACCAGCGATGTAAACTACCTATTTGAAAGTTTGTACTATGGCCCCTTGGCCTTGCTGGCCTGTTTATCGCTGGTTGCCTGCAGCATTACCACCTACCACATTCTTGGACCAACTGCGCTCATTGCTACTTTCTCCTATTTGCTGATTTTTCCACTGGAGGTAACACCTTTCTTTACCATCTCTTTGATGTTGGCCTTTCCCCAGGAAAGCTCCCAGGGCTCTGGAATCTGGGCTACCTCTGGGTAGGAATGCTGACGCTTTTGTTGATTGTTCGTTTCACTGTGGCTGAGATTCCATTTCAATGTTGATCTCAAACTGTTACCCGGCCACAATATTTGGTTGAAAAATAAGAGGTAAATAAGCTATATGAGTTTGGTCTCATAGTTTTCTTTGGGTGATTATCTGCTTAGCAGATTTTCCTTGGTGGATCTTATTATATCTTCTCTTCCATCTAGAATGCTCATTTAACACTTATTATCAATGTTAATAATAACTCACAGTCAACAAAAGGGTTCTTTTGGCACAGTGGGGTAAGCACTGGGCTGCTAACCACAAAGTCAGTGGTTCAAACCCATCAGATACTCTATGGGAAGAAGATGAGGCTTTCTGCCCCTGTAAAGATTTACAGTCTAGGAAACTCTTTGGAATGATTCTGTTTTGTCCTCTAGGGGAGTTATGAGTGGAAATCAACTCTGGCAGTGAGTTTTTAAGATAATCAAAAATGTTAATGATAACATTGAATAATTCAGCCAGTGCTTCACATTTGGCTTAGCACAGTATCATTGAGGTTCGGGATGCAAATTTAATTCCAAAGATTTAGGAGAAACAAAGCGGAGCAAAATAGAAAGTGACTCTTGGGTTGGGGATTCTCCAAATTATTGAAACTCCAGGGATTTTCTTTTGTGGGATTGTTAGTCTGAGCAAAAAGTGAGTGTAGTTGCTAGGAGGTTTTAGGGGCCAGAAGTCAGAGGCGTCACCACTCTGCTCAGTTCATCAGAGCTTGGCTTGAGACCCAGAAGAGAACAGCCCATGATGTGTGAGGCATGACAACCTAGAGAGGCTCCCACTGGGAATCCATCGGCCGAGGCCGAGGACTAGGAGGCACAGTGCATCCACTCAGGGCACGATGAAACGCAGGTGTTCATCCTGGTCCCTGGTGGTACAAATGTTTGAGCGTTCAATGACTAGTCAAAAGGTTAGTGGCTGGAACCTACCCAGAGGCACCCTGGAAGATAGGCTTGGTGACCTGGTTCTGAAAGATCACAGTCTTAAAAGCCCTCTGAAGCATTTCTATTTTGTGTCTATGAGGGAACAATGCGTTGGAACCAAACAGACTTAATTTTGGTTATTCAACCCAAATCTGGAGTTTACCTTTGGAAATACCCTTAGCCACGAAATGCAGAATAGCCTGAACTCTTCAGCCTTTGTAAAGGGAGACTGTTCCACATCCATATATTTGCTACATCCTGATTTCAGGTATTCCTGGTCACAAATGTTGTGAAGATACAGAATCGCACTGCTGTGGTCACTGACCAGCGCATCCGTGTGACCAGTGAGATTCTCTCTTCCATTAAGCTGATTAAAATGTACATGTGGGAGAAACCATTTACAGCAATAATTACAGGTAGGGAAAGCTGACTTTACACTCAGAGCTTGGTGGTGTCATGCAGGCCAACCTCTCTCATGGCTAGCATCTCTTTCATGCTTTGGAGATTTATTTCTGTGGTCTTTGGGAAATGTTCTTGTGATCAAGTGCAGTTATTTTCATTTTTTTATCCTCCAGATCTAAGAAACAAGGAAAGGAGACTACTGGAAAAGAGGGGACTATGCCAGAGCTTGACCACTACTACCTTGGTCATATCACCAACAATGTCCATAGTAATAATGTTCCTCATCCATACAGCTTTAAATTTAAAACTCACACCTACAATAGTACGTGTTTGGAGTACTTTACCTTCTCCTATGCTCCATAGTGATAAGGAGTTCCCTCATGTGTCCTTCCTTTCCTAGCCCACTCCTCTCAAAGATCGGAAAGATCTCCTATCCCAATCCACTTGAAAAAGTGACATTCCTTTGACAGCAGTTGTGAAAGGGATCGGATTTGGTGCCCAACCCCAGCCAGTCCTGGGGCTTTGGGGCTCGGCTCAAGGGGAGTCCCTCTGGGACATGAGGGTACAGTGAATGGTGTGACTCTTTGCTGGGCATGCCGACACAGTAGGGTATGCTGGGGCCCTCTAGGGTTTCCCGTATGGGCTCCAATAAATTTCTTCCCTTTTGCTTAAAAAAAAGAAAAAAGAAAGGGATCAGATGTAGAATTGTCCAGGGGTGGAGGGGAGGTGGTGCATGCAGCTAAAACCCTGAGGGTTTTGATACATGCCTTGGGATTTGGAATTCCAATTGGAAGAGTTTCTCTGACCCAAAATAAGAACCCTGGAGCGGCACTTAAATAAAAAGGTGTATTTTCTTCTACTGTTTCCTTTGTGGTCTGATCTAAACCTCCTCTGAGAAGCAGTAGCTGCTTATTATGGCTGTTCCTAAATGCTGTCAAGTTGGCCCCTGACTCATGGGGATTCTATTCACAGCAGAAGAAAATGAGCCTAGTTCTGTGTCATACCCATGGTCAGTTGTGGGTCAGACCATAGGCATTTGTTGTCTGACATTTGGAAGTGGATCACCAGGACTTTCTTCACAAACTGTCTTAGTGGGGAAGCTCTACTGAAGCTTATTTGATGTCATAGCAACATGCAGGTTTTCTCTGATGTTTGCTGTACACGAGGTGCATTGGCTGGGAGTCAAGCTTGGGTCTTCCTAATGAAAGACAAGAATTCTACCACTGAGCACCTCATTTTTGGATCAGAAACTCCAATCTTCTGAGAATAATAAGACAGTGCACTGCTCTTATACAATTTGCAATCCCATGGGGCAGGCCAGAAGATTTCACAGGAAGCAAGAAGGGGAAGCATTGAAGACTCCTCTGTGTTAGTCTGGGTACTATAATGTGTTTGTCTGGGTGGACTAGAGAAACAAATCCATGGACACACATATGTGCATAAGGGAGAGGTTTATAAACAAGAACAATTGAATGTTGAGGAAACGTCCCAGCCCAGTCCAAATCAAGTCCAGATATTAGCCCATATGTCTGATACAAATCTATAAAGTCCTCTTCAGACTCACAAAACACAGTCAATGACGCCAAATGTAGATCACAGGCCAGTGGGTAGAAAGTCTTTGGATCCAGTGGCATTGGGAACATCTCAGTGCTGGCAGGGGTCTCTGCATGGCTTCTCCAGCACCCAGGGCTGCATCAGGGTGGGTCCATGTGTTTTGTCAGCCACTGTACCTCCCAGGCTGTCAGCAGAGTCTCCCACCACCAAGGAGGAAATACCGGAATTTCCAGAATCCTTAGGGGAAAGCTATGCCCACACAGAAGCCTCATTGGCTATGACCTGATTGACAGGCTAGACTCCACCCCTACACGCTTAATCCTTAAATTGACAATTATATAGCTGCCACATCTTCATTCATGGACCTGTTTGTGCTCCACTGAATGGTCACATTTGCTTGACTCAAACATCCCCCAGGGAACCTCCCCACCAGATGCCTGAAATGGGTGGTCTGGAAAAGGATGGGTCAGCTTAGAGAACTTTCAGTGTATCTTCAGGATCATACTGTACTCATAACAGGCAGAATTAAATCAAGCATTTGAACTGTCTTGGAGTGTTTTTGGATCAAGCTTGCAGAAAGAAGGAGTGGAGATTGGAATCGTTTTGATGGCCTCCAAGGTACTTCTGAGAGGTCACATGTGGAATCTGAGTCTACTGTGGTTTGCTTTGTTAAGGAAGGTCTTGTGGATAACGGTTAGGCTTGAAGAGAAGGGAGATTTTGAATGCTAGAAGGGCAATTTATAATTAAGTCAAAGAAGAAAAAATATCAAATTCACTATAATGATGACACCAAGCTACAAGGTTGATTTACTAAGTTTTCTTACGTGTATTTTCTCAATGTTTCCCAAGCTTTATTCTAATACCAACGTTATGATTTTTGCCACTATGCCAATGGGGGAAACTCAGGCTCAGAGAGTGGGTGGTCTGCCCAAATTTATAGTTTTGCCTTCTCTGTGGGAGACTCAGGTTCAATTTTCAATTAGTGAACTTCATGTGTAGTCACACTTGTCTGTCCCTGGAGGCTGTGTGTTGCTATGATGCTGAACTAATTTCAGTAGAGCTTCCAGATTAAGAAAGGCTAGAAGGAAAAACTTGGCAACCCACTCTTCAAAATTAGTCAACGAAAACTCTGTGGATCTAGGACCGACTCAAGGGTAGGTAACAACAACAAACTATGCTAGGGACCAGACTTTCAAGTCCAGTGCTCCCTCTGGTCTCCCTAAAATACCAGTGTAGCCTCTGCCAAATTGAGGACTTGTTTCTTGTGCGTTTAGGGTCTGGTTCTGTGGATCGAGGCTCAGGGATGATGGCCAGGATTTGCATGACTGAGCAAGACCCTCTTCTCTCTCCTTATCCAGGCCTTCACTGCAGTAGCCACCCTGAATCCTTTGCGGCTATCAGTGTTCTTCACACCCTTCGCAATCAAAGCCATTGCAAATACCACTTCTGCAGCCAACAGGTTCAAGGTAAGTACCCAACTCTTTGTTGGATGCTCCTTTGCCTCCAGGCCCTAGGCTCTTCCTTGTGAACATGTCCCCCACCAAAGCTGAGTCTGGCAGAGAGGGATTGGCTAATTTAGTGACCTGTTGTTTCAAGGCTACTGGGAGGTTCTGGATCAGATGCTTCAGGTTGGTTCCCAGCCCTCAGAGGTCTCAGATTGGTGGTCTGAAAACTGTATGAAGCATGAAGATAGGGTTGCCTATGCGTTCCCTATTGTTTTGCTAAAAACAGAAGGAAAGAAAAAAACTATATTCAATACTTTTTAAAACATGGCTATTTTATGAAGAAACAGATTTCTGGATTTTCTTGAATGGTCAGAATGTCTGGCAACATTGGGCCCACAAGCAGCTGAAGCTGAGGTACTAGCTGATCTATTTAGAAGGAATGTGTATCAGTTTCCACAGCAGTCATCACCAAGCCGTATCACATCCCAAACGTCCTTTTCATTGTCATTTATTATCTTAGAAATAGCCCATTTCATGTATTACATAGTTGGTCCATCCTGGAATCTGAGTTTAAAACCCTTCCCTAAACAAATTTTCGAAAAAACATTTTATACTAATTTCACTTGTAAACACATGCAGTCTGTGACCTGTAAAATCCATTGCCTGTGTTAGTCTGGGTAGACTAGAGAAACAAATCCACAGAAACTCATATGTATATGAGAGAGAGTTTTATATAAAGGGTATGTGTACATTAAGAAAGCTTCCCAAACCAGTGGTGTCTAAGCCCATTAGTCCAACATTAGCCCATATGTCCAACACTGATCTACAAAGTCCTCCTCAATCTCACAAAACACACTCAATGACACCTACTGCAGGAAGAAAGCTGAATCAGTGAGCATGTAATCATCTCAGCACTGGCAGAGGTTTCCATGTGACTGCTCCATCACCCAGGGCTACATCAGGGAATGTCCATGCGGCTTCTCCTCAGGAATATCTTGCAGGAAGTGAGCCTTGCCAGTGGAAGCAGGGAACTGGTAAAGGCAGCTGCACCCTGGTCTGACCATCAGAGAGCAAGAGACCCAAGAACTAGAAAGGCGAGGCTCACCAAGCCATTTATCTTTCTGCCCTTCAATTGATAAACATGTTATCAGCCAGGTCGGCACAATAATCCTTAACTATCTCAATCCACCCCTTGCCAACTTGGCACCTGTACACAATTTTTTAGCCTAACAATTGCAGTTAAGTAACACCTACACCTTAATACTATAATTCTATGAATTATATTCTATGAATATATTCCCCCACCTATGAAAGTTTGTAAGCCACCCATTTCATGTCTTTATCCCCCCAATTTTGGATATCCAATTTCTATTCTACCCACTTACATCAAACTAGTGCTCCGAGGAGAAAATCATATTTTTCGACATGAAGAACCTTCATTCCAGTTGGAACCTTGTGAAGTCCGCATCCATAAGCAAAGTCAAATCAGGACAGGCCATCCATAAAGTCAGCAACAATATGCACCAGTTCACAGGTTCAAAAATCTCTTCATCTGGTCAGGTTCTGGTCAACTCAATGTGGGCTGTCTCACTTAGCCTCCCCAGGGTGCCCATTGTTCACCTTGCCTTTAGATCATGGGCTTTCACAAATACTCAACAAGCCTAGCCCCCTGATGCTAGGTCATGAACTTTAGACCAGTCAACCTGCTCTCGTCTTCTCTTTTTCCTGTAAACCAAGTCCACAGGTGTCAGTAGCCAAACTCAACCCATCTCTTTATTGCTGCATTTCTCCTACTTCCACTCAACAAGTAGATGCAGGTGGTCATCTAGTAAGCATTTTAGCCTGCTTTCAAGCTCTCTTTAACGTTCAGTCCTGGAGAGGAGTTTTCTTCATGGTTCCAGATTTTTTCCAGCTTCTGAAAAAGACTACTGGTTCCTGAGTACCCCAAAGCACTGGGTGGGGCATATCTTTTCAAAGCTTTCTTTGCAGGTGTGACCTGACCCATCAAAGATCAAATTATAATGGCTGAAATCAATTGGGCTTACAAGCTTTCTATTTTCATACTTTCCAAAATAATTTCTATAAATCATAAGCAGAAGAAATCAATATAAACAGAGTAGAATCAGATACTAAACTCCATTCTTAAAACAGTCAAGTTCAATCCTTATTTAGCTTATCTAAATCTTTATCTAAACTATTCTATTGATACAAAAATATGGGATTAGGTCTCTGAGAGCATCAAAACAGAACCAGGCTTTCTGTCAGGCATCTTGTCCTTCTGTTAGCCATTTTCCTTAAAACAGCATGGTTTCTGAGAAATTCAAATGGTGATTTCTACTCCTGAGCTAAAAATATACATTAATCACATTTGCTTTTGCCATTTTAAGCAGGAATAACCAAAGACTACAACCAAACAAAGTAATCAAAACTTTAACTTCCCATATTCTTTCCAGAAAACCACTGAGTAAACAGTGTGACTTTATCTGACCTCTGGCTAGACAAAGAAGAAAAACTCCCATGAGGGAGAGCTCAAGCAAACAGCTACTCTCCATCTTATGATTTGTTTCTCCAGTACCCCACTCCTGACACCATAATGTGTTAACTATCTCATTGCCTCATTCATTGATATAGTCAATATATATTTCATCACCTACTATGTGTTGGATACTGAGACAGGTAGAGCCAGCGTGATAATACGGTCCCTGCTGTCAGTGCGTTCCAATCTGGCATTGGAAACAAGTAAATTAATTATCAAAGAAGATATCAGATAACAAGAAGATCAGAGAAATTGATAAAACAGCTTTATGTTAGAGTGTGGGGGAGAGGGCTAGGGGCTACTTTAGATAAGCTAGCCCAGGAAGGTCCCTCTGCTGAGGAGAGATTTAAGCTGAGACTTGGATGATGAGGCAGAAAGAAAAGCAAGTATAAAGGCCCTAAAGCTGGAATGAATTTGACTGCTAAAGTAACAGGAAGAACGAGCATTCTTTATTTATTAAATAGCCTTAGGAGCTTCCCTAACTTCTCAACAGCTTGCTTTCTTCTGCCCTGCCGGCATACTCAGCTCGTTCATCCTCTTCTCTGTGCCGGTTTTTACCGGTGGGTTTGCAGAGAGGAGGCAGTCTCAGTCTGGGCTCAGAGGGGTGGGAAAGGGTAGAGGATGAAGCAATAGCAAGGGACACCGCTTTGGCTGCATTCAGGACCTGGGTTTCTTGGGAAAAGGCTGGACAGTAGGAAGGTCTGGGATAGGTAGAGTTGCGCTGGGAGATGGGAGAAGGAAGGAACCAAGGCAAAGATGTCAAGCTCTGCACTGTTCTCCCTCAAGGCAACAATGGGCTGGATCTGACCAGGACTGTTCTTTGAGAAGGGGGCACTTATTCGCCAAGTCTTCCTCACTAAGTCAGGACATCCAAGGCACTTAAAATCCTCCTGCTTTGGTCACCTAAATGTTTTACCTGGTTCTGTCCATAGGTGACTTTGTGGCTGCTGTACCTGAGTGGGGAAGAATGATCCTTTGTTTTCCTTTCCTTGCACTGAAACTGTAAACACATTCCCTGTGCACGCTATCTCTTGAAGGAAGGAGAGACCCGTGAGCTCTCAGGGAGGATCCCTTCCTGGAGGGGACATTAGTGGCTAGTTAGTGGTGGCAGAGAAGGTGGCTGGGGAGCTGGGAGTGTAGTCTGGGGTTTTGAAGAAGGCTCCTGTGGGGACAACGGGGTAGGAATCTTTAGACAACACTCTACTTTGTGTTGTTTATTTAAAAACACGGAATAGAATAAAAAATAGAGATTGATGGTATGCTTAGAGCATTTGGATTTTTTTTATTAGTTGGGATTTAATACATATAACATATAATTCCTATTTCAATCATGACAAATAGAATTGGACAATTGCTACCACAATCAGTTTCCAACCATTCTTTTCCTATTTTGACTCATTGCATTGTCTCCCTTTTGCTCTACCCCTTAAACCACCACTGTACCCCTCTCCCCTGAACCCCTAATTCTACTTGCTGCCCCTATAGATTCATCAATCCTGGGTTTCATATACAAAAAACCAGAAAAGCATATAACACATCTTCAAGAGAGTGACCTCCATTGACATAACACCTCTTAGATACACTCTAATAGGAATGAACAAAAACCAAACCAAAAATGCAGAAAATTTTGGAAACCAGATCAGGTCCAGCCTGCATCATAGGGGAAAATCTTCTGACAAAGTTTTAACTGTTCAGGTGAAGTTTATGCCTTTGATCTTCTATACTTCTCTCTCCCAAGCACTGTGCTTAGTGATCACTCTCCTCTCATCTCTTCATTTTAGAGAGGGGAGTTCTTTGGAGGCTTATTTCCTAGGTAGTTCCACAAATGAATCTTGGGCTCCCAATGTCATTCATCGCCTTCTGCACACCAGATTCTCACAATTTGGGCTCCGATACGGATCCCTCCTTCGACTTCAGATTATATGGATTCCAGTCCTTTGGTTACTGATGATGGTGTGCTTTTTCCATGTGGGCTTAGTTGACATCTCACTTAGATGGCTGCTTGTTTGGAGACAAGCCTTTAAGACCCCAGATGCTATTTTATCTGATAGCTGGGCACCATCTAGATTCTTTGCCACATTTTGCTCTAGCACCCCTATCTTCTGTATTCCCTTCCTGAGGGCAAGTATAGAGCAGGGCCATGATGAAAGCACTAATTGTTCTTAAGTTGGAGCTAGGATTTAGTGTGAGCCCAAAACCCATTCCTGGATCTATGCTTTTTTTTTTTCTTCCTTTCTTAATTTTCTGTAACTTGTGAGGTGATATATGTGTTAGTTTGGATAGACTAGAGAAACTAACCCAGAGACACTCATATGTGTGCAACAGAGAACTTTATATCAAAGAGCAATTGTATATTGAGAAGACATTCCACCCCAGTCCAGATCAAGTCCATAAGTCCAATATTAGCCCATATGTCTGACACCAGTCTATAATTTCCTTTTCAGACTCACACAGCACATGCAATGATACAGGAAGATCATAGGCCAGTGGGTGGAAAGCCTTGTGGATCCAGTGGTGGTGAAAGCATCTCAGCACTGGTGTGGGTCTCTCCCTGTGGCTCCTTCAGCTCCAGGGCTCTGGATCCATCAGGGGTCTCCATGTGGGTGATGCCAATGGTGACACACCTCTGAGATACACCCTAATATGAACAAGCATAAGCTACATATAACAGAATGACCTTCACAGGATTGTTGGAATAATGCATATCTTAATACAACATATAGGGTGTTGGGACAGCAAGGCCTGTTTGTCCATAGACAGTATACCACTTGGGGTTTTGAAGAGACCCCGCTTTTGGTTTTATAAACCTTGTCAGTATCTACTCATAGATGGATATGTGTTGGTATAGCTGATTCATCAAACCAGAGTGCTATTCAAATTCTATTTAATAAAGTTACAATAGTTATGATAAAACTTTAAGAAGCAAGAAAGCAAAAAACAAAGCAGGGGAATGAAAAATCACAAAATTTGAAGCAGTGGTTACTTGTGGGGAGGATTTGGAGGCCTTCTTCTCTGTGGACAATGCAATGGGAAGGCCATGCAGGTAGGTAAAAGTTATAGCTTCTTAATTCAGTGATGGGCTCATAGATGCTCATATTATTGAAAATAAACCTAGCTGCTTTAGCAAACCTACCTTCTCAATTAAGTTTCTGAAGGCATCAAGCCTTCGGAAGTTTTAGCAAGCAAGCCTCATGCCCATCGGCGCTCATCTTCACTCATTCTTTGGGCTGGGAATCACAATGCTCTCCCATGCTCTGGCTCTGCCACTTCTTGGGTGCCATCGTTTTCTGGCCCTGAATCTAGGATGCTCAACGCACAGGAGTCCCAATGACATACTCCATTCCTGGCTCTTTTCTCTCTCTCTTGTTTTCCTTTTCTCTTAATTATAAGAAGATACTCCTCCCATCCTGTATCTGAGATGGTTCATTTTATAACTAGCAGGATGCCAATCACAAATAATGGGATCATTGAATACTATAAGTATCTTCCCCCAACAGATTCATCAGGAAAAAGTTGTTCGGTTGGAGTAATGAAGACTGGGACTGGAAGATTCATATTAAATACTTCACGACATTGCACAGACCAACTGGCTTCTCAGTAAAACGAATTACATTCCTGCTGAGCTAAAGAATAGAACTCTCTCTCCCTCCCCATCTTTTTGTCTGTCCAGAACATTTTCCTCCAGAAGAGCCCTGTTCCGTATGTCCAGGCATTCAAAGACCCCAGCAAGGCACTGGTTTTGGAAGGGGCCACTTTGTCATGGAAACAGACCTGCCCTGGGAGTGCCAATGGAGCCTCGGAGTTGGCGAGGATTGGACACACTCCTGATGAGATGACCAGACCTCAACGCCCTTTAGGTGGCCCCAGGCCAGAGGACAAAGGACAGAGAATGGGCCCAGAATTGCGCAAAATAAATTTAGTGGTGTCAAAGGTAGCTTGCTTTATACCGTGCTGGAAGGCTGGCTACCAGACTTTTGGGGCCGGTGGCTAGGAGCTCAGTCTGTACCTTATTATTTCTTTGGTTAAAAATGGGTTTCTTCAAGATATTCCTTTTTAAAGTACATTTTTTCATGGAATGCAAACATAGGACTTCCTTCTCAATTTGGTATAAATTCATTGGTCACATGGAACTTTTAAAATAATAGGCAAGACCTCAGAATTGCATGAGAGCACTGTGCACTGGCACTTAGAGGGACCAAGGACACAGAAAAGAAAGGGAGTGGATTAAGCTCACACTTATTAAGTTCCTGGTATGTGTCAAGCTCTATTCTACAAGTTTTTATTTGTTTGTTTTCTGACTCCTTCTCTACCTAATTTTTGAAAAGGCTCAACCTCTTTCTCCTGTTCTAGCATTGACACTTCTATTATCTATCTACACATTTTGCTTCAGAAACATCACATCCAGCTCCACAGCTTTGAATTTCACCACTGTACAATTATCTCTAGCCTTGATGTCCTCCGAACTCCAGAATTAACTACCTATTTAAAATCTCTACCCCAAATCCTACCTATTTCAAATAAAACATGACCCAATGAGAACTCTTAATTTTCACTCTCTCCAACTGGTTCCTTCAGTCTCCCCCCTCTCAGGAAATGGAGCCACCCTCCTTCCGGTGAGTCAAAGTTGATTGCTTTCTCCTTTCTCCCATTAATCTAATCCGTGAGGAGAGTCTATCAGCTCTGCTTTAACTTCTCCCTCAAGTTCAGCCACCATATTCCTGCTTGGCCCCCAAACCATCATCAGGTCACTTCTGGCTCCTTACCATCTTTCCTTCTTTTGCTTTTGCCCTCTTCTGGAACACTATCCAGGCAATGGACAGCAGGGTCTTTTTGAAATGTAAACTTATGCCACTTTTCTCCCTAACCCTTCTTTGAATTTCCACTGTACCACCTAGCTGCACGTTTTACGATTTCTCCCATTAATCCCTCCACATCAGCTGCACTAACCTGTTGGCAGTTCTTTGACACGTGAGTTGAATTCTGCCTCAGGACTTTTCCAACTGCCTTTCTCAGAGCCTACAACATCCTTATCCCAGATCTTCCTGTGCCTGCCTCCTATTTGTCATTCAGATTTCAACTGCAATGGCATCTGCTCAGAGAAACTTTCTCTGGCCAGCCTATCTAAAATTGTCTCACCTCCAGGTCTCTATTACAGTAGCCAATTTCATTCAGCACTCATCACCATTTGATCATAGTGCAGTGAAGGTAGAAAGAGGGATTCCAACAGTGGAATCTAGCTGCATGCTGGTGCCCCTTCCCTTGAGATCTGGGTGGTAGATTGTGAGCCCCAATTTTATCATCTGTGAAAGTTCTGGGGTGTGCTTTGCCTGATGCCATCCAGACAAGAGACTCAGCTCACATTTTCTCCAGTTTTAACCCCTGCCCCCTCAACACACACACACACATCATATTTATTTATTATTAATTTTTTGATGGGTATTGTTTTCTTTTTAAAAATTATTTTTCTCATTGTTTTATTACAGGCTCATACAGCTCTTATCACAACCCATACCTACATCAATTGTGTAAAGCACATTTGTACATTCATTGCCCTCATCATTCTCAAAACATATGCTCTCCACTTAAGCCCCTGGCATCAGCTCATTTTTTCCCCTCCCTCCCCGCTACCCCCTCCCTCATGAACCCTTGATAATTTATAAATTATTATGTTGTCATATCTTTTGCTGTCTGACGTCTCCCTTCACCCACTTTTCTGTTGGCCATCCCCCAGGGAGGAGGTTATATGTAGATCCTTGTAATTGGTTCCCCCTTTCCAACCCACCCTCCCAGTATCGCCACTTCCACCACTGGTCCTGAAGGGATCATCCGCCCTGGATTCCCTGCGTTTCCAGTTCCTATCTGTACCAGTGTACATCCTCTGGTCTAGCCAGATTTGTAAGGTAGAATTGGGATCATGATAGTGCGGGTGTGGGTGTGGGTGGGTGGGGGAGGAGGAAGCATTTAGGAAGTAGAGGAAAGTTGTATGTTTCATTGTTGCTACATTGCACTGTGACTGGCTCGTCTCCTAGACCTTTCTGTAAGGGGATGTCCAGTGGCCTACAAATAGGCTTTGGGTCTCTACTCCACACTTCCCCCCCCCCCCAACCGTCATTCACAATGATATGATTTTTTGTTCTGATGATGCCTGATACCTGATCTCTTCGACACATCGTGATCGCATAGGCTGGTGTCCTTCTTCCATGTGAGCTTTGTTGCTTCTGAGCTAGATGGCCGCTTGTTTATCTTCAAGCCTAAGACCCCAGGCACTATATCTTTTGATAGCTGGTCACCATCACCTTTCTTCACCACATTTGCTTATGCACCCACTTTGTCCTCAGTGATTGTGTCGGGAAGGCGAGCATCATAGAATGCCAATTTAATAGAAGAAAGTATTCTTGCATTGAGAGAGTACTTGAGTGGAGGCCCAATGTCCTTCAGCTACCTTAATACAAAACCTATAAATATATGCACATAGATCTATTTCCCCATCCTCATATATAAATATATTTATATATGTACATGCCTTTATTTAGACCTGTATAAATGCCCTTTGCCTCTGGCTCTTTCCTCTATTTTCTTTGACTTTCCTCTTGTCCCACTATCATACTCAGTGTTCATTTGGATTTCAGTAGTTCCTCTTGGTTACTTTACCCTTGATCATGCCCTACCAGGCGTCCTACACCCTCCTCACCACCGGTTTGGATCACTTGTTTTCCCCTTGTCCCTGGATTTGTGAATAATATTTTTATGGTCTTCCTCCCCCCACTAGAATATAAGCTCAACGAGAATTGTTTTCTTTACTACATGGACAAAGCTCAAAGGACCTTTTGAAGGATGAATGAATGAATTAATGTATCCATGAATTCTGTAAGGCTGGCTTCATTATCCTCATCTTACAGATGAAGAAACTGAGACTCAGGGAAGCTAAGTGGCTTGTTTAGGATCATAGAGTAGATGCCAATCTAGAATTCAGATTGTCTGCCTGATTTGACAATCCTTATTTGAATTCCTCTCTGTCACTCCCATAGGTCCTGCTGCCCATAAGGTTGTCTCTGCCCAGAGTTATAGACCAAACTCAAAGCTCTTTGTGAATGCTGCTTACCTAAGAAGTCTTGGGAAGGGTGATATTTTATTTATTATTTTTGAGAAAATAATAAACCCACTCTGGAGAAATTGGATGCTTGTACTATCCCCATTTACTCTGTCCTCTTTGGCTTTGCAGGGTATGATATTAGGGATCTGTGGCAATACGGGTGGTGGCAAGAGCAGCCTGCTATCAGCCATCCTGGGAGAGGTAAGTAACATGTGATCATAATGCATTTCCATTAATTGGCAGTCCAGTCATTCGCAATCTCAAGTTTGCCCCCCTATGCTCACTATTACTTTCTTTCTCAAAGGACTGTAAGAAAATAGGATTTTGTAAATTGAGAGTGGGTTGTCCTTGCCCGATGGAGGAAGAGAGTTATAAGTGGGTTCCCTCGTTCGTGGCACTCCACCCTGAGGCAGCACTCAGGACTGGAATGTCTCTTGAAGCCCATCCTCCCCTATTCTGTGTGTTTCCTTACCCTGTTTCTTAATCACGTAGTAATCAGGGTGATGATACAGGGTGTCTCAAATTTTAATACGAAAATAAAAATACTATCATGAAGCCCAATTCCTACCATTGCGGTGTGGTATGTCCTTGTTGAGTGTCATCAAGAGTGAAATGTGATGGTAGAGAGAGGGATTCCAACAGTGGAATCTAGCTGCATGCTGGTGCCCCTTCCCTTGAGATCTGGGTGGTAGATTGTGAGCCCCAATTTTATCATCTGTGAAAGTTCTGGGTTGTGCTTTGCCTGTTGCCATCCAGACAAGTGACTCAGCTCACATTTTCTCCAGTTTTAACCCCTGCCCCCTCAACACACACACACACACACACACTATTTCTTACACACACACGCATGCGCGCGCGTGCCCACAGAACATTTGCACACTTCATCTCCCACAGGAGGGGTGTCCTGAGTAGTGCAAACAGTTAAGCACTGGGCTATTAACTGAAAAGTTGCTAGTTCAAATCCATCCAGAGCCACCTTGGAAGGAAGTGTTGGCTATCTGCTTACAAAATCCTTGAAAACCTTCTAGAGCAGTTCTGCTCCAAACATGTCGACTCACCGGGAGTCAGAAAAGAGTAATGTCAACAACAATCCCATAGGAGTTTCTCACCAGCCTTCTCCATTCAGTGCCCAGATTCACCCGCTCCCGTGGCTTTTCTCACTGTCCCTCCTCTTTTGCCTCTCATCCCTCTCTCCCACATGGTTCAGAGGACTAACAGGTATCCTTCCTACACCCAGCATTTCTCCCAGTTCTTTCTCCACGAAGTCCACAGCCCAACTTATCCAGGTAGCTTGCCGACAGGAAGGTCTTTGTTTAATAGGTTCCATCCAGTGAAATGCAGCCATGTTTTAGATAGAGTTTCTCATCTAATACAGTCTGAGAACTCTTTTTTCTGTGATCCTTTCCCAAGATTCTTTAAAAGGAGATTGAAAACTCCTTTTAAAATTTGTATCGGAAATAATGATCCAAGCACTTTGTGTCAGGGCCTGTGCTAAAAGATTTCCATATTCCTCTTCAATTTCATAATCCAGTGAGAAAGTCACCCACTGTGGTCAGTTTACAGATGAATAAGCAAGGTTCAGAGAGTAACTTGTCCAAGGTCACAAATGGGGGAAGCCAGGGTGGAAACTGAAGTCTATCTGAAGTTGGAACTCTGCTCTTCATCTTTCCCTGGAAGCTTATATAAAATCCACCTTTCTATCTGGCTACTGGCCTGTCAAACTCCTTTTCAAATGAAACTTTTTATTTCCAATAAAGGGGAAAACCATTTTAAAGCTTTGTCCTTAATGATGAGAAATCATAAGGAAAAAAACAACAACAGAGAATTGGAGTGAGGGGGAGAAAGGCATAGACAATAGGTCCTATCCCAGGAACCCTAGTGACATAATGGGTTAAGTGTTGAGCTGCAAACCTCAAGTCACCAGTTCAAACACACTAGCTACTCTGTGGGAGAAAGACGAGGCTTTCTACTCCAGTCCAGAGTTATAGTGTCTTGGAAACACACAAAGACAAGACTGCTCTGGCCTTATAGAGTCACTATGAATCAGAAGCCACTTCATGGTGATGAGGTCTTTTTTGATGCTGGTTATGGTGCGGATGAGACATATATATATTAAAATATGTGATCTTTAAGCTTACCATACAAAGAATCAGAAAGAAGATATGATAGCAAAGACCCATACACTTTCCATGTAGTTTCAACAGTTGATACAATTTTTCCTCATGTATGTAAATATATATTTTATAAAAGTCTTCAATTACAAAGATTATAATATTTTTCTATGCTAAATATCTTATTCTGAAATTTGGAAATAAGGATGTTTCCCCTTGTTTAACCAGGATACCATTATCACACCTAGTAGCAGAATTAATAACTCCCTAATATCCAAGCCAGGCTGAAAACATATAGGGTGTTTTTTTTTTTTTCATATAGGGTGTTTTTAAAGCAAATTTTTTACTCAGTCACAGCAGGAAATGGCCTGGCTTATTTTCAAGTGCTTACACATGTGCTCATGGCACGTTCCTCCGACCTGGCAAGGAAGTATTGGTGGCGATAGCTCCTGTGGAGTCCATTCTGACTCGTGGTGGCCCCATGGGAGCACCCAATTAATGGTCCTATTTTACATAGCACAGTCACAAAGATCCCAGAGGGCAGTGGGTCGTGGGTACTGTGGCTCCTCAGACAGGTGAGCCATGGAGATCTGTCCCTGGCATACCTTGGTACTGAAGCTGGGCTTATTTTGCTGCAGATGTACTTGCTCGAGGGCTCGGTGGGTGTGCAGGGCAGCCTGGCCTATGTTCCCCAACAGGCCTGGATCATCGGGGATAGCATCAGGGAGAACATCCTCATGGGAGGCCAGTATGACAAAGCCTGGTAAGCCTTTGGGAAAGCCTTGGGGTGGGGGGGGGGAACTGGGTGTGTGGTGGTGTGGGCACCTGAGCTGCTAGGAGTAATTTGATAATTACTAACATATCTATTTTTCAGATGAGTCAACTGAGGCTCCAAGAAGTTAAGTAACTTGTCCAAAGTCTCACAGCTAGGAGGACACAGTGGAGGCCTCTGAAAGTTGAATTCAAATGCTTAACTATTATGTTATATTGCTTCAAAATATCCATTTCACTTTTCTCCCTTCAAAAATGTCCCCCTATGGAAGAAGCACACCGGCCTACCCCTATTCGATCACTGAGAACATAGGGGGTACATTAGCAAAAGTGGGGAAGAAAGCAGATGGTGCCTGGCTATCAAATGATACAGCATCTGGGGTCTTACAGGCTTGAAGACAAACAGATGGCCATCTAGCTAAGAAATAACAAAACTCACATGGAAGAAGCACACCAGCCTGTAAGATGACAAGGTGGCGAAAGGGTCAGGTATCAGGCATCAAAGACCAAAAAAAAAAAAAATCATAACATTGTGAATGAGGGGGAGTGCAGAGTGGGGGCCCAGGGCCCATCCAAGGGGAAATTGGACATCCCCTTGCAGAAGAGCTGCGGGGAGGTGAGGAGCAAATCGGAGTGAATTGTAGGAACGATGAAATATGCAATTTTCCTCTGATTCTTAAATGCTTCCTCCACCCCACTACCATGATCCCAATTCTACCTTACATATCCGGCTGGACTGGAGGAGGTGCACTGGCACAGATAGGAACTGGAAATACAGTGAACCCAGGACAGATGAACCCCCCAGGACCAGTGGAGAGAGTGGTGATGGCGGGAGGGTGGAGGGAAGGAGAGGGAGAAAGGGGGAACAGAGGACAAGGTCTACATGTGGTCTCCTCCCTGGGGGACAGACAGCAAAGAAATGGGTGAGGGAGACGTGGGATGGGGTAAGATATGATAAAATAATAATAAATTATAAATTATCGGGGATTCAGGGGGAGTGGGGAGCTGGGAGGGAGGGGGAGAATGAGCTGACCCCAGGGGCTCAAGTGGAAAGTGGGTGTCATAAGAATGATGAAGTCAACATATGTACTAAAGTGCTGGACACAGATGATGTATGTACAGATTGTGATGAGTTGTATGAGCCCCTAATAAAATGATTATTTATTAAAATAAATAAATAAATAAAGTGATTTAAAAAGGGGAAAAAAAATGTCCCTGTAAGCTTCCTTCTTATTACTTAAGCACTAGGTCCTCTGCATGTTGACAGGGAACTGCCAGAAGGTCAGGCTGGATTTAGAAGAGGACATTACTGATGTCAGATGGACCTTGACTCAAAGCATAGAATACCAGAAAGATATTTACTTGTATTTTATTGACTCTGCAAAGGCAGTTTACTGTGTGGACCATAATAAACTGCAGATAACCTAAAGAAGAATGTGAATTCCAGAACCCTTCACTGTGCTCATTCAGAACTTGCACATGGATCAAGAGGCAGTTGTGCAAACAGAACAAAGGAATACTGCATCGTTTAAAATCAGGAAAGGTGTGCCTTGGGGTTGTATCCCCACACCATACTTATTCAAACTATACCCTGAGCAGATCATCGGCGAAGCTGGATTGCATGAACAAGAATCTGACATCAGGATTGGAGGAAGGTTTATTAACAACCTGCAGGATGTAGATGACACGGCCTTGCTTGCTGAAAGTGATGAGGAATTGAAGCACTTGCTGGTGAACATCAAGGGTTGTAGTCTACTGTATGGATGACAACTCAATGTAAGCAAGACCCAAATCCTCACAACTGGACCCATAGATAACATCATGATAAATGGAGAAAAGGCTGAAGTTGTCAAGGATTTCATCTTGCTTGGAGCCAGGATCCATACTCATGACAGCAGCAGTCAAGAGATCAAAAGAAGTGTTGCATTAGATAGGTCTGCTGCACAAGACCTCTTCAGAGTATGAAGGGGAAAGATGTTTCTTTGAGGACTAAGATGTGCATGGTAGTCTCCATTGCATTGCCTGCACGTGAAAGTTGGACATTGAGTCAGGAAGACCACAGAAGAATAGATACATTAAAAAAATCATCTTATTATTATGGGCTCATACAACTCTTATCAATCCATACATACATCAATTATATAAAGCATATTTGTACATTCATTGCCTTCATCATTCTCAAAACATTTCCTCTCCACCTAAGCCCCCAGCATCAGCTCCTCATTTTTCCCCTCCCTTCCTGCTCCCCCCTCCCTCATGAACACTTGATAATTTATAAATTATTATTTTGTCATATCTTTCACTGTCTAATGTCTCCCTTTACCCACTTTTCTGTTGTCCATCCCCCAGGGAGGAGGTTATATGTAGATCCTTGTAATCGGTTCCCCCTTTCTACTCCATCTTCCCTCCACCCTTCTGGTATCGTCACTCTCACCACTGGTCCTGAAGGGATCATCCGCCCTGGATTCCCTGCTTCCAGTTCCCATCTGTACCAGTGTACATCCTCTGGTCTAGCCAGACTTGTAAGGTAGAATTGGGATCATGATAGTGAGGGGGTGAGGGAGGAAGCATTTAGGAACTAGAGGAAAGTTGTATGTTTCATCATTGCTACACTGCACCCTGACTGGCTCATCTCCTCCCCGATTCCCTTCAGTAAGGAATGTCCAATTGCCTACAGATGGGTTTTGGGTCTCCACTCCACACTTCCCCTCATTCACAATGATACAATTTTTTGTTCTGATGATGCCTGAGTGATACCTGATCCCCTCAGCACCTCGTGAGCATGCAGGCTGGTGTGCTTCCTCCATGTGGACTTTGCTGCTTCTGAGCTAGATGGCTGCTTGTTTACCTTCAAGCCTTTAAGACCCCAGACACTATATCTTTTGATAACCGGGCACCATCAGCTTTCTTCACCACATTTGCTTATGCACCCGCTTTGTCTTCAGTGATTATTGTCGGGATCAGCGATTACTGTCGGGAAGGCGAGCACCATGGAATGTCAGTTTAATAGAGCAAAGTATTCTTGCATTGAGGGAGTACTTGAGTGGAGGCCCAATGTCCTTCTGCTACCTTAATACTAATTCTATACATATATGCACATAGATCTATTTCCACATCCTCATATATAAATATATGTACATGCCTGTATTTAGACCTCTATAAATGCCCTTTACCTCCTACTTCTTTCCTCTATTTCTTTTTACTTTCCTCTTATCTCACTATCATGTTCAGTCTTCATTAGGATTTCAGTAATTTGAATTGTTGTGCTGGAGAAGAATATTGCAAGCACCATGGACGGCTAAAAGGATGTGTATTGAAAGAAGTAAGGCCAGAGTGCTTCTTAGAGCCAAGAATGGTGAGACTTTGTCTTACACACTTTGAACATATTGTAGGAGAGACCAGTCCCTGAAGAAGGACATCTTGCTTGGTAAAGCAGAGGGGCAGTGAAAAACAAGAAGGTCTTCGACAAGCTGCATCCATGGACTTAGGCCTGGGCATAATTGTCTTTCATGTATAGGATCACTATGGGTTAGAGCCGATTTGATGGCACCTAACAACAGCCCGCTGCCAAAGGTTAAAACAAATAAGGTGATGAGGTCATGTAATCTAGATGAAGTGAGTTTGTGTTCATGATCTAGTGGACCACCTACCTCCCATCTACGCCTCTCCTTCTCCCTTGTGACCTCTCCCTGCTGAAGGCCCTGGCGTTGACTGGCTGGAAACAGGCTTTTGTAAGTTGTGTGTGAAGTCTATTCAGTAGAGGACTCAGAAAATTCTTGCCTGAACGCTCCTGCTCTGGTCTCATTGAAGGAGTCCTGGTGGCACAGTGGATTACCGTTGGTTGCTAACTGGAAGGTCAGCAATTTGAAATGAGCAGCAGTTCCTTGGGAGGAAGTTGAAATGTTCTTCTCCATTACGTGTTATAGACTTGGAATCCACAGGAGCAGTTCTAACTTGTCCTATAGGGTCACTCTGAATTGGAACCAGCGATGATCTAATTCTGGTGGGCTGTGACAGAACTTGACTGTTTATTTGATTTTGCAATTTGCCCCACTAGTGACACTGACTGGCCTAGATATATAAGTGCACAGACTGGTGTTCTGTGACCACCTGTCTAGTTGTTCTGTGGGTACTGGTGTTCTGTGACCCATCCTTGCTTTGCTAGCAGGAACCTCAACTTTCCTTAGCCATGCCCCACAGGGGCAATATGACTTATATTTCACATGTTCTTGGTTATACTCTGTCTTTCATATCTGCAGTTACCATTAATTTTCTAATACCTTCAAATAAAAAGCAGTATTGTTATTTCTATTTTTAATCTAATAATAGCAACAATGGTTGAGTTGATTCAGCCCTCTGTACCCATTCATGAGTACCTTTTTTGTCCAACCACCAAACCCCCTTCCTCTCCTCCCAAATTGCCCATTTAGTCAAATACCTTCACCCAAACTATATAGCCATCAGCCTGGCTGCTTCATCCTCAGACTAAGTCTTCTCTTACAAATCTCTTGCATCTTTCTCTTCTCTGATTCAGAACTGGGTTATATTTTGCTTGAACTGTTTCTACTTTCCCACCTGCCTCAGTGTTCTTTGGCTTTATTCCCTCCTACATATGTTATCCAGACACATCTCTTTAAAACCCACCTCTTATCTTGTCATTGCTCTGCCATTAGGTTGATACAAATCAGCGGAGAGTTTTGAAATAGCTGTCAAAACCAAAAGATGCAGCAAATCTCCTGCTAGATATTTAGTGCATAGATAATCTCACCAATGAGCACAAAAACCCATAGGCATCAGTGTCTACTCTACAATGTCCATGGTAGCAAAAGACTAGAGACCACTCAAATGTCCACTGGTTGGGTATTGGTTAATTATGGTACAGTTCTATAATGGAATACTATGGTGTCAAGAAAACAGTGTAAACCTATATGTGCTATATACACAAATGTGTGAAGAGGTGATTTACAAATGCATACATTTTATATATATGTATACATAACTGTGGCGGAGAAGCTAAGGGTCAAAGATGGGAAGAGGTTCTACTTTTCATTGTATCTTTTTTGAGTTAAATATTTAATAAGTGCATGCATGGAGGGCTTCAAAACTTTGTGGATAACAACTGAATTAAAAATCATGGAATTTCCCCACAAACTCTTTGAGCCCCCATGGATTACTTTAAAAGAAATGAAAGAAGGAAGGAAAAATTTAAAGCCTCTAATGGTTTACCATTAAAAACAAAATCAAGCCCAAATTTCCTAGCTTGGAATTTAAGACTGTTCCCATCAAGACTTGCGAAGGTTGCAAGACCTTAGGGCCAGCCACCTGAACCTCACAAGTCCCTGTCCTTTGAAGGTACCTCCAGGTGCTCCATTGCTGCGCCTTGAAAGGGGATCTGGAAATTCTGCCTTTTGGAGACATGACAGAGGTAAGTGAGAAGTGAGAAATGTTGGTGCTTTTATGTTCTTGGGTCCACAAGCCACAGAAGCCTCTCTGCCTCTAAAGGCAGATAGAGAGAGGACACTCTACCTTCCTTCCCCCATACCTTCTCTGTAGCTGCTGCCTTAAAGACAAGAGTAACTTCCACTGAGGGAAGCTGGGACTCTTATTACCGTGAGAACTGGAGTCGAAAGTTGCCACCTTTCCCCACAAGGTGGGATTGACCACAAGACTTTCCTCCTGGAGCAGAATGGAAACTCTGTAAAGATCAAACAACTTTCCACCCCACTCACCCTTTCTCCACTCTGGCCACCACTTGCCAGTTTATGTCATCCATGGTTTCAATGACATTTTCCTGAGCATTCGCTATCTTTCACATCTCTATCCCTTGTTACGGTGTCAATTGAGGCTCATAGAGACCCTGGGCTCTGTCAAGTCAGGTCCCACTCATAGTGATACTATGTTCAACAGAATGAAACACTGCGCTGTCCAGCGCCATCTTCACAATTGTTGTCATGTGTGAGCCCATTGATGTTAGACAGGATGCTCTAGAGAAACAAAACCAGGACACAAATAATTATATATAGATAGATAACATATGAAATAAACAGTTAATTAATCTATAAAGCAGTACAAATGGCTCAGTGTAACTCACTTCCGTGAGACAGCTAATACACTGGCAGTCCTTCAAGTCTTGAGGGCCGTTGGGTAGTCGACTTCAACTTTTGACAAAACACATTTAAATGGCCCTTCCCATGACATTAACACCTTCTGAATCATTGCTGAGCTATCTGTGCTGTGTAGTTAATTGCATGTGGTGCAAATGGCTGAAGATGAAACCCCTAACCCTGACACACCTTAAATTCACAGTTGCAGTCAACTGAGATTTGAATCTTGTAGATATAAGACGGTGCTCTTTCTTGGGAATGAGTAGTTCATTCTATTATCAGAATTGTTGGAGATTTAATCTGACTCCTGAGAAGTTGGCAGGTTTAGAAAAAAATGGGATCTAATTATGAGTTGCACAATTTTAATTCATTGCAAATCAGTTTTTTCATCTCCTCTTAAGCAAATTTTGACAAAAAAAATTTTTTGAATGTCATTAGCTAATCCTGAAGTTTGTGCACATCTGTCACATCCCTCCTTCTCCTAGTGAGGTACACTTGGCTGATGCTCATTCTCTGGACACCATGCCTTTTGCTCCCTGTTGGCAGATTGGGGAGTGGGGACTCAACCTCTCTGGAGGGCAAAAACAGAGGATTAGCCTGGCCAGGGCCGTCTACTCCAATCGAGAGATCTACCTGCTTGATGATCCTCTGTCAGCATTGGATGCCTGTGTGGGAAAACACATCTTTGAAGAATGCATTAAGAAGACGCTCCAAGGGAAGACCATTGTCCTGGTGACCCATCAGTTGCAGGTAACCACAACTCTGGCTAGTGTCAATCCTCAAGTTTTGCCATTTTAGCATATGATTCAAAAACAACCTGTGAATAAATATTCCTTTACCTCAACCAGCAGCCATGGAGTCAGCTCTGATGTTTGCCACAGTAAAAGTGTACTGAAATAAATTTTTGGATATTATTATCTTTGCTTTATTATTTTCCAAGTTGTTAATTGCAATTTTGTGAAAGTTTACAGGCGCATTTTTTTGAGATATTGATTATAATTCCCACAATGTAATAGCACTCTTCCTACGTCCTTCTGGTGTTTACTGTTTAAATTCTTTCTTGTTTCCTATCTCTCTCTGTTCCCTGGATTTTATTCATGGACAAAAGCTGTCCCAGTCTCTTTTATGATTTTGAAATGCATTTTACATTTTTCTCCCACTCTACCCAGGATCATCTCGTGTGCCCCTTTTCAGAATAGTTGGTAGTGGTAGCTGTTAACTCGGTCAATTAGTTCATTTTTAACAGAGACCAAAAGTTGCACTTTGGATGGCTGATCATGGACTTTTGCAACTTCAGTGGCTTTTCACCAAATGTGGATATAGAACACTGCCTTTGTGAACTATATTATGTTAATCGACCTTTGTGTACCCTGAGACTACGGATGCCCCAGGCTCAACAACTCATTTCCTCCAGTTGTTTGATTATGTCAAATACATTTTTATAACTTTTCCTGCTCCACCATATGTATGGATTATGTTATGCAGAGGAAATACACATGCACCAATATCCTGTCAAATCTATTTACATTCATAGTCATACCTCTAATCTTTCTCTACCTCTCCTACTCTTACTCTTAATTTATCCAGTCAGCATGTCTATCCAAGCATCTACCACTGCTGCAGGATTGTGTATATAACAGTACTTACCTCTGCTGCCTATTGCAAACTTCCCAGTCTTCCCCGGCCTCCATCATTTTTTTTTTCCTAATCTATCGCTTATTGTGCATTCACTCAAATGAATACTTGTCTGTACTGTAGTCTGTGACTTCCCCTCCCTCCCTTCTTATCCCACCTCTGGTAGTCATCAAAGAATGTTTCTGTTAGTGTGAAAACTGATTTTTTTATTTTTTACAATAACAGTTTAATATTATATTTGTCCTTTTGTGTTTAACAACTTTCACTCAGCATAATGGCCTCTAAGTTGATCCATGTTATGAGGTGTTTTGTAGATTCCGTTTTTTAAAAACAGATTTATTGGCCATATATCACACAATTCAATAGTTCAAGCATAGCAAGAAGAGTTGTACAATCATCACTACAATCAATTTTAGGACATTGTCTTTTTTGTTTGTTTGTTTCCCATGGTTAAATAGCTTTTAAAATGAGTTGTGTAATAACTATCAGTTCCAGTGATCCCTTCTCCCACACATACATTGTTTGCTCCCCAAAACTCCTCACTGTCTCTATCTCCCACCCTGACCCTTACCTCCCCTATAAACCCTTGCATCAGTTCTTATCTCTATGTATCTACTCCTTCTGTGCATCACAAAATGGAAAACCCAACAGAAACAATAAAAAACAAACAAAATAAAGTAGTAAGGACAAAATAATAATACAAAGATAAAAATACAAATAATGAGCAAAAAAGAAAAGACCACCATGAATTTAAAAAAACAGGGAAGAAATTTCTGTCATAGAACAAGCAAGAAGTACTTGCATCTAGAACAATTTCAGCTTGGGTCTATAGGGAGGTCAACTGAGCAAGTATCAAGTTCAATCCGGTATAGCCACGATTACAATGATCTCCATCTGATCATAAATCTGTTCAAGACCCTTGCCTGTGGCTAGAGGGCATATGTCAGCTGCTTAATCTGACCATAGAATCTGCAGATGGGCTTGGACTCCCACTGTTTCCATAGCCTTCTACAGATTGGGTGCTCGCAATTTAGGCTCTGACACTTTTTCCTTTGTCATATTTGAATTTTGTTATTGGATCTTTGGATCCCACAAGCTGATGTACTTCTTCCATGTGGACTTAGTTGGGTGCTTGTTTGGATAGATGTCTTTAAAGATTCCAAACACGATTCTGATTAATAGCCGGGCACCAGCTTCTTTCTTCATCACACTTTGCTGTAGCACCCTTATCTTCAGTGATCCTTTCATGAAGGTGAGTCTCAAGCAGAGCCATGTTATCAAGAACTAACTGTTCTTGGATTGGGGCTAGAGTTAAGTGGAGTCCCAGAATCCATCTGCTTGTCCCTGGGATATATGCATGACTCAGGTTTATTTTGGTGGTCTTATTATGGCAAATTCAAAACCCCATAAGACCAACTACCCCAACACAACAACAAACAAACTAGCAAACAACAAAAAACAAACAAACTAACAAAACAAGCCAACTAAAGGCAGGTAAACAAAAACTCATAGAAACTGAAAAGTGAAATCTTGTCAAACATTCCCTTGTGGTATAAGTGATTGCACTTGTAACCATCAATTTTTCCAAGGACACATCACTCTGGAAAATGTAGGTATGAGAAATCTATGCAAATACAGTTCCCCCATGAGCTGAAACCAATGAATTTTTCCACACAGTTTGATCTCCCATTCGATTGAGGTCTGTTTAAATTAAGCATGGCGGTTGGTGCCAGGGGGAAACTTCCTGGATCAATTCATCCAAGTTCAAATCCCTGCCCAGCAAATCAAAATCTGTCATGCCACTGCCAGTGGGGAATTGAAGTACTAAATACATGGTGATTCTGGATCCTTTTTCATTGGACACCCACCAAACTCGGGGTTACCCCCAAGGTCCAATGACCACCACTTCCACAGGTCTGGAGTGGCCACTCTGCTTCCTCTCCCATCGGAGTACCCAAGTCCTCAGTCCAAGGGTGTAGGCACCTTTGAGGCAGGACTCAGTTCAGTCTGCTGGATCTCTATGTTAAGTCCTTCTGGTGTAGCCCCTGGGTTACGCTATGCTGCCGGTGAGGTCAGCATCCAAGATCATCATGGTGTTTAGTCCATCACGTGATTCACTGAGGGTTTGGTAGAAATGTATTTATAGTATCTACCCAGGAACATAAAATCTGGTCCATTGTCCTCTAGGTTCCCTACAATCATCGTTTAGCATCCCTTCCCATCACCCACAATAGTTCACCAAGAGAACTATCAGTGTCTCCTCCAAAATGTAGATGCTCCCCTTCCCTGGTCTTGGCTTGATTTTCTGGCAAGGTTCTCCTTCCATTCCTGTGGGAGGCCCCATTGATATGTCTTAGCCTTGTCTCCGTGTTGGATAGCCTCAAGTAGATGGTCTTCTCCCATTTCCCTTTCTTGAAGGAGTGAACCAGGCAATGTGAGGTCTCCTCCTTCAAGATGGCTCTTATGAGGTGCGTAAAAGGGAGGTGATGTATGCTTCATGGCCAGTAGGTAGCCTTCTTCCTTTTTGTTCAGGAATTGGTCTCTAAGATGTTTTAAACTGGTGTTTCTCCTTATAGTAGTGGAGTCAACAATATTTGTCCTTTTTTTTTAATAAATCAACTTATTGGGGCTCATAAAATTCATCACAATACATAGATCAATTGTGTAAAGCACATCTATACATTTGTTGCCTTCATCATTCCCAAAATTCGCTTGCCTCTTGGGTTCCCAGAATCAGCTCATTTTCCATTTCCCCCCCTCCCCCTTCCTCTGTCCCCCCCATGCACCCTTGATAATTTATAAATTATTATTATATCTTATATTACACTGCCCGGCATCTCCCTTCACCTACCCCTCTGCTGCCCGTCCCCCAGAGAGGAGGTTATATGTAGCTCCCTGTGATCAATTCCCCCTTTCTACATCCCCCTTCCCTCTGGTATCACCACTGTCACCCCTGGTCCTGAGTGGTTCATCTGTCCTAGATTCCCTGCGTTTCCAATTCCCATCTGTACCGCTGTGCATCATCTGGTCTAGCAAGGTCTGCAAGGCAGAATTGGGATCCTGGTAGTTGGGGGGAGGAAGCGTTTAAGAACTAGAGGAAGGTTGTGGGTTTCATTATTGTTATACTGAACCCTAAGTGACTCATCTCCCCACTAACCCTCTGCAAGTTATGTCCAGTTGTCTAGAGATGGGCATTGGGTCTCCATCACGCGCCACCCTCATTGACGAGGATATGATTTTTCTCCCCGCCTTTGGTGTTAATATTTGTCCTTTTGTGATTGACTTATTTCACTCAGCCTAATGGTTTCCAGATCCTTCCATGTCATCTGGTGTTTCATGTTTTCATCACTGTTTTTTAGGGCTGCATAATATTCCATTGTGTGTATGCTCCTTTATCTATTCTTCCACTGTTGGGATTTTGTGCCTTTTTTAGTTTTTTTGCTATTGTGAACTGTGCTGCTATGTTCTTTGGGGTATAAGCTTCATAGTGTATTGCTAGATCATATGGGATTTCAATTTCCAGTTGCTTTAAGTAATATAGCTTTCCACAGTGGCTGTGTGTATTTACAAGTCTACCACCAGTGTATACGAGTTCCAGTCTCTCCACATCCTCTCCAATATTTGTTGTTTATGTTATTATTATTATTATTATTTGGGCTAGCATTGTGGGTGTAAAGTGATATCTCATTGTGGCTTTAATTTACATCTCCCTGATGGCTAGTGATTGTGAGCATTTTGTCATGTGTTTGTTAGGCATTTGCACTCCATTTTTGGTGAACTGTCTGTTCGTATCTTTTTCCCATTTCTTAATTGGGTCTCTTGTTATGTTCTTATCCAGCTATTACAGAGTTCTGTATATTTTGGTAATTAGCCATTTGTTAAATGTGTTGTTGCTAAAAAAATTTTCCCACTCTGTGAGCTTTCATTTATCTCCTAATAAACTCTTTTGATGTGCATAAATGATGTAATTTCACCATGTCCCAATCATCTGTCTTGTCTTCTGCTGTGTATGCCTTCTCCATTATACTTGGTAGTCTGTGTATGCCCAGCAATAGGCCACTTAAGTTTGTTCCAATCTTCTCATTGATGATCCTGAGGGCTTTGGGATTTACATTTCAGTCTTTAATCTCTCTTGAGTTCATTTTTTGTGCATGGGGAAAGGTATGGGTCTTGTTTTATTCCCCTGCATATGGAAATACAGTTTGTCCAACACCATTTATTGAAGAGGGTATCTCCCCAAATGCCTGATTTGCAATGATGGGGGAATAGGTTCTAGTATTTGATAGAAAAACTGATGTTAACATATGTAATAATCGTGCCAGCTTTTGGTGTTATAAAGATGTGAAGGTAAGAAAAGGTTTGACAAGAAGTGAAACCAAAAAATTGGTTATTACTGTTGTGAAATAAAACTTTGCATATTCAGATTAAATAAAGAAAATTTAAAGGCAAGGTCAAGATACAAAATTTTTAAGAATATTAACAGGAAAAATAATACTTGAGTAAGACAGAAGAGAGCTGTTACTGTATGTTAGTTTGGACTCTCAGCTTTGCCCAGGAGCTTAGTTTCTGTTGTGGGGGCTAACTTCTGGGTTGATGGCTTGTTAGGGGACTAGAAAATTAACAAATTAAATTTGAAGGAAAAAAGTAAACTTTATCTATATCTACATCTACATCTATATATCCCACAAGATGAAAAAGGCTCTGCTGGGAGGAGCTTTTGTAATATGAATTGATTATTCTAGGTGAGCATGAGCAATTCACTCTGAGTTAGTGCACTCAGTGGCGTTGCCTCGGAAGGTTCTCTTTGGTCACAGTACATTTTTTCGTAAAAGCAGTTTCACACAAAACTCACTTTTTGTGAAGGCCAATTTAAGGGAAAAGCATGTGGCTGTGAAATTTTGTTGTCTGCTTGGGCAAAATGCCACAGAAACTGTTGTGATGTTGAACACATTACGAGGACAGTGCTATGCGAAAAACTCAACTCTACAAGTGGTTTTCTCATTTCAAAAAAAGTGAAATGTTGATTGATGACAATCCTCATTCTGCACATCTATCAACTACTAGAACAGATGAAAATGTTGACTTGTAGTGCATTTGGAGTTCATTCCATCAGGTCAGACTGTTAATCAAGCTTTCTATTTAGAGGTTCTGAAAAGATACTGTAACAGAGTGTGACAAAAAAAGGCCTGATTTGTGTTAGATGGGGGACTAGTTTTGCCACCCTGAAAATGCACCTGCTCATGCAGTCATCTTAGTGTGCCAGTTTTTTGGGAAAAAAACCCCAGCATGCTTCTCTTGCCCCACATACCTTGCTCACCTGACCTCCCTCCATGTGACTTCTTTTTGTTTCTGAGAATGAGGAGGGACATGTGAAAGGACAGTGATTTGGTGAAGCAGAAGAAGAAGTGAAGAAAAAATGAGGGAGGTGCTTTCAGCTCTTCAAACAGATGAGTTTGAAAAATGTTTCCAAGAATAGAAATACAAATTTGACAAATGTCATTTGATGTAATTACATGGTTGCAAGGTTCTTTTCCTTTGTTTTGCTTTTGTGGTGGATTGCATTGATTGTTTTTCTAATATTGAAACATTCTTGCTTACCTGGTATGAATCCCACGTGATCATGATATTTTAATGCTTTGTTGAGTCTGTTGGTTAGAATTTTGTTGAAAAAATTGGCATCTATATACATAGGGTTATTAGTTTATAATTTTCAGTTCTGATGTCTTTGCCTGCCTTAGTCATCAGGGTTACATTTTCTTTGTAAATGACTTTAATAGTATATTATCTTTTAATATATTCTGCAATAGTTCATATAGGATTGGCGCTAACTCTTTTTCTTACTTGACTTTTTGTAATAGTGGCCCATACAATGTCTGACCTTATTTTACTCAGTATAATATCCTCCTAACTCATTATGTTTTGAGGTTTTGTTTTTTGTGTTTGTAATCCCCCCCCACCATCTTTTGTTGTTGTGTGTGTATTTCTATGCTAAGTGCATTTAATTTATGGATGTTCTTATAATTTCCTTTATTCTTATTGTTTCAGTATTTACTGAATGTGCTTTTCTTTTTTTTTTGGTGTGAAGATTTCTAAATTTTCTTTGACGCTACCATGTAATTTATCATTTTATCATCAAGTTTAAAGAGTCCACTCTATCTTGATTTCAGTTCAACTCCCTCTTTATTTGGAAGCTCTGTAGCTAACCATTTATTCCCCCATTTTGCTTTTAAGTTGTTTACACACTGATGTCTCCAGTTCCCATTTTCAGTCTTATAGCTTTATTTTACTTTTGAAATATTTTTACCTGGGTTGGTTTACAAGAGATGTCATGTGCCTTATTTCAAGTTGTGTGTAGTTGGTGGTTCTCTTGTCTAAAGGACTCCCTTTAGCATTTCTTGTGAGGTTTGTGTGGGGTGACAGCTGTAGTGAGTATGGCTAGGTAGGGTCTCTGGATCGTAAGTGATGCAGGAGAAGAATAAGAAAAAACCATTGAATAGAAAAAAATGAAAGAAAACAGAAACCAAGGGTGGTGGTATATGAAAGAACAAACTAAGAAAGAAAAGGGAAAGAAAGGAAAAAATATTGTATGATCTTATTTTTATGAACTATTTAGAGCAGGCAAAACCACCGAGGCAAAAGATTAATGGCTACTTGGTGCTAGGGAAAAGGGGAATGGGGTGGTTTTTAAAAAAAAGGACTCAGTTGAAAACAGTAATAATTTATAACTTATCAAGTGTTCATGAGGACAGAGTGGGGGGTGGAGGAGCTGATACCAAGGGCTCAAATTAGAAAGTAAATATTTAGAAAACAATGATGGCAACATATGTACAAATATACTTGATACAATTGATGTATAGAATGTTATAAAAGTTGTAAGAACCCCTGATAAAATTATTTTTTAAAAATCCCACAGAAAAAGAAAATTCTCCTTTGGGTCTTTTTCATTGAAAACCACTATACATATGGTAACTGTAACTAGTGCTGCTTTACAGCAGTATTTCCCTAAATATTCTCATATTCAGTATTGACCTCATGGCCATTTTCTAATTTCTCCTCATCTTTCATATACCTACTTATTTTTGTGTTCTTATAAGTTGGAATAGACCTGAAACCAACAGAGTTATTTATGTGGTGTTTTTGTTTTATTGGCATTAAATATGTCAGAACTACAAAGAAGTCTTGAGTATATGCTAATGAAAACCGTGTATCTACCAGATGGGTTAAACAATAAAACTTTGTGCCCCCTCCAAGATTACATTCTCTTCCATGCTACCTGCCATTCTGAATTTATTATTTATTATTCTGAAGTATGCCTTCATCCTCTTACATGTGCATGATTCTCTCAAATTAAAAACCAAACTCATGACCATTGAGTCCACTCTAACTGAGAGCAACCCTATAGGGCAGGGTAGAACTGCCTCTGTGGGTTTCTGAGAATGTACCTCTTTATGGGAGTAGAAAGCCTCTTCTTTCTCCATGGAAAAGTCTTCTTTAGCATGTTAAAAGTTTAGATATGATTGATAGTTTATTGTGTCTCTTGGTGATTTTATTTTTTACTCAACTTTATATTTTTGAGGTCTTCCATGTTGATAGATGTAACTTTATCTGCTTCCCACTGGTAAATGTTTTCAAACCATGAAAAGACCAACATTTATTTCTCTGGGTTGGAGATTGTAACAGCCCTGGTAGGGCAACAGTTAAGCACTCAGCTGCTAACTGAAAGGTGGTTGATTCAAACCCACCCAGAGAAAGAACTGGTGATTTACTCCTGAAAACTTTACATGTGCGGTTTCCATGAATTGAAATAAACTCTATAGGATCTAACAACAACAAAAAGATGAACAGTTAAGTTGTTTCCAAACTTTTATTTTACAAAAAATTGCCTCAATGTATATTCTTCTGCATGTATTTTCGTATACATGTTAGAGAACTTCTTTATGATAGAGTTTTAGGAGTAAAATTACTGATTGTTCATAATTCACAGCTTCAACGTTTCTTTTGTTGTTAGTTGCCCTTGAGTTGATTCCAACTCCTGGTAAGCGATTGCCTGGCTTGTCTCCAAAGGTGTCTCTGAGTGTGTTGAGCCACAAAATTGTCTCTAGTTCAGTGCCTGACCATTTGTACTACTCAAGGATTCCTCAGCTATACTAGAGTTTGTTAAATTGTTCTGCAAGTGATGGTACCAACTTAGAATCTCCCTGATCACTTTCTGAGAATTCCATTTGTTAGTGATCATTACCAATAAATTGGAGTTGTCTAACTATTACCATCACATTGGCAAAATATTCAGTTTATCATCTTAATACATTTTTCTGATGAATAGTGAAGTCATATGTCTTTTCATGTGCTTGCTGAAGATTGTATTTATTCTGATTATTTAGTATTTAGAGGTTTGTGACAAGATCATTTTGCTAGAAGATGGGGAAATCTGTGAAACTGGAACTCATAATGAATTAATACAGAAGAGGGGGCAATATGCCCAACTCATTCAGAAGATGCATGCGGAATCCACACAGGTAAATTCCAGTCCCTATTTATCATTCTTCCTGGGGAGGGATGTCCCTGCATTCACAGTTTATACGTTCTCCCCAGATTATGCTGCAAGATACACAAAAGATACCAGAGAAGCCACAGATGGAAGATCAAGCCCATGCCAGTTCTAGTGAGGAGCCTCATAATGAAAATGCTGGTAATGATGGGAAATGGAATGGGAATGTCCACATACTTGCGAGGATAATCCAGTGTTAGGGCATTTCTTCCTCAACTGGAGATTGGACCAATCTTTCAATGTCTGAAATCATACTGATTGCACCAGATTGCACATACAGGCTACACACCAAAGGGGTTTTGTAGAGGGATAGTTAGTGGTGGTCAGAAGGCCTGAAGGGCCCATAAATCAGGTGATGCTGGGGGCACAGCTGATGACATGGAACAGAGGCAGGGGGGTATGTGTGTGGCCCTTAATAGAGCTGCGTAAAGACTTTGCAAGATGTCTGGACACAAACTAATTGCATATTTATTAGGCACAACAATATTGAAGATAAAAAATGAACAGAGTCCAGTCTCTGAAATCCAGAAAAGCGTAGGGCCTTGCCTTTTCTGAGGCAAAACAGTAGAATGGAAAAACATATTTCAAAGTCATACAGTTCTGGATTTGCATCCCTCATCTGCTGTTTACAAAGCAGTGTGATCTTGGCCAGGCAACTAATGTATCTAAATTCTCATTGGGAAAAGCTGTAATGCAGATTAAATGAGTTAAAGTGTGGGCAGCTCTCAGCACAGTACCTGGCACATTCCATTGCCTCTAGTAGAGTTCTTCAAGTGCACAGGCCACAAATCCATTTAGGCTAATAAATTCAGAAAAATAAGATGGGGAGGAATGAAAGGAAAATTTGGGGTCCAAATATCAGGAACTGTTACTGTCTCTTTGAAGAATGGCTTCTATACTAGTGAAAGTTCTCTCAAGATTCTAATTCCAGGAAGACAATAAGAATCTAACTGGTTACTAGTTCATGTATCAACTCGTTGGCCAAAGGAGGATGGCGAGACGTCTATCTAGCCTGATAGTTCTTTCAAGACTAAGCTCAATGGAGAAAGTGTGGGCTATTAAAGAAATGTCAAGGTGTTGTGATTAGTAGAAGGAGCAATGTCAGCACTTAACAATAGACATCAAGCTTACCCCTGGTTGTTGTTGCTATTATTAAGAGTATCATTAACTGATAACTCTAGGCACTAATCTCAGTGCTCTAGGTCAAGGGTCTACCTGGATTCATAAGTATATCATCTTGCATTTGATACAAAGTATCTTTTTTAAAAAAAACTCTATAGGCCTAGCATTTTTCAGATGAAGATACTAAAAGGTTACGAGATTTGTCTAAGTTTTATAGTGACTTGGTCATTGTGAATGGTGACAGTTCTGGAACTTGGGCTTACTGCTTCCAATTCTTTATTCTCTCCAGTGACCTCTCAGCCACCATGCACTTGGAGATTCTAAGCCCTTTCAAGTTATTTTTGATAGTTCTGGAGTTTATGTCAAAGCAGGGATTCCCTATGGAATATCTGCTGGTTAGAATCAGGCTGTGTGGACAGTGAAGCTGCAAAGTGAGGAAACAAAAAGGGTCACAACCACAGCAGAAGACTTTGCCAGGACTCCCATTGATCCCCAAAGAAGATGCATGTGGCAGCTTAACAAATTTCTTCCTTTTTTAACCCTGACTCAGAGTTGCAGAATCAGCTCACAAAGAAGGAGGAGATGAAAGAAGGTTCTCTGAGTTGGCGTGTGTACCACTACTACATCCAGGCAGTCGGAGGTACAGTTTGTTAGCTGTCTCATGCCAGGCAAAAGACTCCTTCTTATAAGACCTGCTCCTGAAGCTGGGTCAGACTAGAACCGGCAGCATTTGGTCTGGATGTGAGGTCAGCTGAAATAAGAGGTACAGAGGAGTCCTGCTAGGCAGCTTAACTTGTACACACCCAAACATTCGACACCTCTACGACTAGTGTCGGTTCTGAAAGGTATGCTTTCATGTGCACTCTATTTCAACATTCTCAATGTTCAGTATTCTGTGGATATTGACCCAGAGTAGATTGTGAGTAACACTAAAAAAAAATACATAGAATAGAAAGCATTGACGTGCATTGGACATTGGCAAACTTTTTATTTCAATGTGCAGTAAGTACAATTTAAACTCTCTTGAGTCAGATGGCAATTAGAAGTTTCAAAGGTGCAACCTTATTAAAGGATGTACATTATCATATATATACATTTACAAATTCATATATATGACTGTACAACATTGTAAACACAAAATGAGGAAGATGGTACAATACTTACAGAGAAATTTAAGATTTTTCAAGAGTAATTTTGACTGTATGCTGTCTATTGACTTTGGGACCTAACCTTATTTAAGGTATATCTCCTCTCTCTATAACTGAGAAAGAAGACGTAGGCTGTGTACAGGAAATTACCACCTGCACCCTTCCAATGTGGGCAGTGTGGAGTGGGGACCCAAAACCCATCTGTAGACAAGTGGACAGCCCTTACGGAAGGGTCGCGGGGAGGAGACGAGCCAGTCAGGGTGCAGGGTGGCAACGATGAAACATACAACTTTCCTCTAGTTCTTAAATCCTTCCTCCCCCTACTATCATGATCCCAATTCTATCTTACAAATCTGGCTGGACCAGAGGATGTACACTGGTACATACAGATAGGAACTGGAAACACAGGGAATCCAGGACAGATGATCCTTTCAGGACCAGTGGTGAGAGTGGCGATACCGGGAGGGAAGTGGGAAGATGAGGCAGCAAGGGGGAACTGATTACATGGATCTACATATAACCTCCTTCCTGGGGGGCAGACAACAGAAAAATGGGTGAAGGGAGAAATCAGACAGTGTAAGACATGACAAAATAATAATGACTTATAAATTATCAAGGGATCATGAGGGAGAGGGGACGGGGAGGGAGGGGAAAAATGAACTGATACTGAGGGCTCAAGTAGAAAGCAAATGTTTTGAGAATGATGAGGGCAACAAATGTACAAATGTGCTTGACACAATAGATGTATGTATGGATTGTGGTAAGAGTTGTACGATCTCCAAATAAAATGATTTAAAAAAAAAGAAAATCAGACAAAAACTCCAACAGTAAAAAAATAAATAAAAGAGAGAAAAACATCAATCCAAGAAGCAGCAGAAGATAGTAAAAACTAGAACAAAGTAAAAATTAGTCAAAAAGGAAAATAAATAACATGTAAAATTTTAACCTAAATATACCTGTAGTAATCCATTTCCCCCCTCTGTCTGAATGCAAGATTATTCACATATCTAGTCAATGATCTGAGGAAGTCTGCAAATGGATTTTGGGCTTTCACTGTTATCCATATACTTTGGCAAACTGGGAGCACAGAATTTAAGCTCTAATACAATTTTCTCTTCTGATCTTGGATTTTATTATTTACACCCTTGGAATCACATGGCTGGTGTGCTCCTTCTGTGTGGATGTAGGCTACATCTCACTTAGATGGCTGCTTGTTTTAAGACAACCCTTTAAGATCCCAGACACTTGTTTCAGATAGCCTGGAATCATCTGATTTCTTCATCACACTGCTATTGTACCCTTATCTTCAGTGATCACTTTATGGAGGTGAGTATTTATCAGGGCCACATAGTAAGAACTAATTGTTCTTAGATTAGGTTTTATGATTAAGTGATAGCTCAAAACCATTCATATATGTGAAGTCTATATATATCCTGGTCCATTTTAGGGACAACATTACCAGCTTGGTGAGAAATACTTTAAATAACCTCTATGAGACATATGGCAATTCTAATAATAGTATCATTTAATCTAGCCAATGTCATAGATTTTTTAAGTACTATTGAGAAAAGGAAAATATACACGTGTAGGAAAGCTTTTTATACTGAAATACACAAGATGTTCACTTTTACGGGTTAAAAACTTAAGTAACTTAAAAAAACAGCAATGAGGGTTATATTCAAGGCAAAAACTTTTCAAGCATACTCATTAACTGTGGCAAAACTATATCTGCAGGACAAAGATGTCACAAAAAGCAAAGAATGTGTAGAAATAGTTTATGTAAGGTGTCAGTTATTGGCATCCTCAAAAGAAGTGATTTGCACCTAAGTCCACTCATTTCCAAATCTGTGACCTTAGGATAGCAGTTCTCTGCTTCTCATATTAGAGTGTCTCAGCTTTGAGTGCAAAAGATTGTTTTAGTTCTTTTCATCTGCAACAGGTATGTTTAAGGTAGAGTCTGGTGCCCTTAGTTGTTTTGTTAGGTGCCATCAAGTTAGTTTCAAATCATAGTGACCCTATGTACAACAGAGAGAAACACTGCCTAGTCTTGTGCCATCCTCAGAATTGTTCTTATGTTAGAGGCCATCGATGCAGGCACTGTGTTAAGGGGTTTCCTCTTTTTCTTTTTAATATCATTTTATTAGGGGCGCATACAACTCTTATCACAATCCATACATACATCAATTGTGTAAAGCACATTTGTACATTCATTGCCCTCATCATTCTCAAAACATTTGCTTTCCACCT